CATCTGACTAACAATAATCGCTTTGTAGTAAATTTTTATTTTTGGATTAGTTTCGGTTCAAAAGGGACGAGTGAGAGGAACCGTGCAGATGTCCACTAAAAATGGCAAATTGCCTATACGCGTCTGCGTCTGGCTGAACCAGACAGCGAGAAAACCGTCACCGGAATGATCAGAAACAATCAAACTGTAAATAAAATGTTTTCTTCCATATCTTGAAAGATAATAATTTTTTACAGCTATTTTGCTCGATATTGGCTAGTTTATTCTTAAAAAAAATCAATATTTGCAAACCAATAATTCTCTTAAAATTCACTACTGGTGCAAATTCAGTACACCAGATAGATACTGATGTTTTTTTGACAAATCAAAATAACGAAATAGCAAATATTTGCAACAAAAAAACTAATTACGTTTGAAATAACTGGCAGAAACTTAGTACTACTGTCATTACTAAAAGTTCACAACAATTTAATTTAAAAATGATTTTTAAATTCGTTTTGAAAAATCATGGATAAAGCCAATCTGAAAGAAAAAAGAAAAACTCAGTACCCTCATCATGCTTTCAAGGAATCACTAAGAAAAAAAAAATAACACACGTAATTTACACCCCGATTTCAATAACTTGAACATAATTTACGTGGAGTTCTCCATAATATAAACAATTATTATTATAGTTAACTAGATATAAAATCGTAAACATATAAAATACTAAAAAATTTTGTAACATATATATATGTAGAACATATTATTCGGTATTCAATAATGGCAAAAAAGTTATATGGTTGACCTATGTAACAAGGCTGTCACTACTTTTGAAACTTCTCCAGTCATACATATTTAACATTTATTTTTATTATTTATTAATTTTATATTTTTAATATTTTTATCTTGTTAATGTCAATATGCCAAAACTAAATAATTTATACATGTATATCTATGTGAAAAATGATTACTGAAGATTACTCCGACGTACCCATTTGTTTACTTTTTTTGACAGGGTAGCCTATTTTCTAAGAGAAATTTATATATATTCTGTAAACCAAATTGTGATTAATAACATGTGCATTACCGTCCTGTAGAGCTCTAACGAAGACTAAATAGTCAAAAGCTTGGCAGAGATATAATATATATATATATATATATATATATATGACTCTTTAATTGGATCATATCCCTGATTCTCAAGAATCATCGTTAATCTGTTCGCTTCTCTCGTGAGGAATCAGTATATTTGAACTCATAAGTTTTAGTATTGTAATTGTGAACTTTGTGAATTATAAGTAATAGTTTCAGACTCTTGATTAAAAGCATATTTTCCAGGAAAAGTATATGTCTGAAAACTTATAATGTTAAATCATAACATCTATAGTTCATAGTCGAAAATGGTATAAATTATTTACCACAAAAAATCGTTTATTAAGTTCAATTTTTCTATTATTGAAATAATTCTTATGGTTAATTTATTTAGAAAAGCTATCAGAGTGACTGTAAATACAATTTACATTTCAGGCTGCGGTATCCAGATACTTCTAATTTTGGTTGTGTGCCTAGATACCCCATAAGATTTAGGCTAGATTAACCTTTGCGACAACTTTAGAATAAGACTTCGATTTAGCCGCGGGAAACGATATAAATACACCGAAGCCGTCACCAGAAACTCGTAAATATACCCCGATCCTTTCCTCGCAATCGTAAATTATTATAATTATATCTGAATTAAAAGCGAGAAATATTTTCTAAAAATAAGTCCATCTGAAAATAAAATCGGATATTTTCTTCATTTTAAATTAAGACACATTAGTACAAATTTTCAAAACACCTTTTTTCCCTAGGTAAACATGAGGCGTGGCATTTAATTAAATTATTTCAGTTAAAAAATTAGACATGAATCGTAAAGAGGTCTAGAGGCAATGCTTGGTTGGACCCTAGATTGGTAGTAGATAAGGCGTTTGCTTCCTTATGAGAGTTTTCATCTGTTGTTATGTAGACTTTTGAAAAGTTTGTATCGTCTGTTCGTTAGATCAATTTAAAGTTCCAAATAGCAGACGACATTGGTTGCTGGGAGAGGAACAGAATTGTAGTAGATTGAAAGGAGAAGGTTAATTGCTGGAGTTTGGCACCATTGTATCTAATCCTAGACTTGGTGAACCATATTATTTCAAAAAAGGTGGTCCTATTGGTTTCTGAATGCCCACTAATGAATCTGAAAGAATAGCGGAATCGTCAGCAAGAAGTACTGTAGCGGGATTTATAGTAATGTCCGAAGCGTGTATTCAAAAGAAAATGGAACAATGGATGATACCTTGAGGAACGCTCTTTTAGCATGGTGGATGGGGATGTTTTTTCGAGAGTAGTTGTTGACTTTTAAGTAGTAAAGTAGTAAAAGTAAAGGGTTCTTTACTAACTTGACGTCTTGTTTACTAATTTATACAATAAAATTAACTAAAAGCGAACTTCAAACTTTAATTTATTCCTGAGGTTTTGCAATAAATTCCTCTTTGCCTTATGCTAAAAATAACACAATATATATATAATGTCAACTATATTTATTGACAAATGAAAATTTTCTTTTTACATAAATTATCAATCCCTTTTCCGCAAGCGCACGCACACACAATTTATATAGAAAGAACTAATATATATCTATAATCTAATATATAACTAATATACATCTTTATTTATTTATTAGATCTTTATATATTATAAATATATATTTATTTGGTGTCAATAAATATTTCCCAGTTGATTTGACAATTGTAAAATTGTGCAATCTATGAAACTCAGAAACCCTTGAACCTCTGGTCAACCTCCGGGATTTGGTTCAACGGATGTCAATATTGTTAACAAACCAAAGGCATATATATATATATATATATGTATAATTATTGTAATTGTATAACAATTAGACCAAGGTTTGCTCACATGAATGTCGCTTTCCTAAAGCAGGCAATGGAATAGGCATAAAAACGTGGGTAATTCGTGCATCATTATTTATAACGGTTTTTCATAAATCGATGTATATTTCTTGTTGACGTATAATATATCAGACCAATCCAATTCGAGCAAACCCCAGGATGTACATATCAATCAGTGTGTGTTTCATGAAGAGAAACATTTTATATTAAGTTGTTTCGGAAATAATTTAATCTTTTCGTTCTTTCTCTTATGGGATATGTAAAACAAACAGATTATTTACAAATTGAAAAATAAAAAATATGCCAATATTTTCTACATATTCTCAAAGTCTACTTTTTTCAAACATACGTTTCCTTCTGGAGCGTAAACGAGTATAAAAACAAATCCGTTTATAATTTTCAGGTTTTCTTTAAGTAATAGTAGATCTACTTATTTAGATATTAATAGTATTATAAGTAATAAATAAAAATGATAAAAACAACAAGTGTACTTGTTGTATTATTGTCAGCGTTTAATTTGAAAATATTACAATTTTAAGGAAAAAATAATACTAAACTGCGAAAAAAAGAATAGGGATATTTGTAATTTATTCTTATTCTATTATTTTTAATCAAATTAAGCAATATATTCTTGTTAGATGGATAAAACAAAATAGAGAATACTAACCAAAAACAAAAAATTTGTTAATCCTCATGTTTAATAACGAATTTACTTAAGAATAGTAAACATGCGGATCACTCATTTTGTACACAAACACTTTTTCTCGGCTTTTCTCCATTGTAATCCAGTTGTATTCTCTTTAACCATGGATAGACATCATCATGAAACGACGTTCCAATTGGCGTCTCTCAGAGAGTGCTCACCCCTGCTTTAACCCGATTCCGTGAGACTGGAAATGCCAACAGGAGGCCTGGTAGTCGCTTTTAGAACATTACGACCCTAAGGGAGGACCGAAATATTGTCATTGCTGCAAGACGGAACCATTTCCATAGTGCCCGCCCTATCCTAAATGAAGTACAATATGTTTTGGCGAGCCCGTTAACAACACAAACGATTCGCAATCGTTTGTGAGAAGTTGGCCTCACATCGTATGCTGCTTTGAGGCGACTCGCAGACCCATCTGTCTATAGAGATAGCAGAAGAAACTGGAACTCACAGACAGAAACGCGACTTATCAGTAAACATTACAGCATTCCAATCGGTGTTCTCTTCTAGGTTCTCGCTGCACCATATTCTCCTGAGTTGCTGATGGCGGACTGTTGATGCACGTCGTCTCAAAGGGGCATACGATGTGAGGCCAACTTACGATTGCTTACACGATTACGAATCGTTTGAGTTGATAAAGGCTTTGCCGAAACATCATGTACTACATTTAGGATCTGGCGGGCACTATGGAATGGGTTCCGACTTGCAGCAATATTTCTGTCCTCCTTCTGACCACGTTCTGAACAACGCCAACTGCCTCTGCGACATCCACTTGCCGGTGACCTTGATGACTCATTCGCACAATAATATTGCAAACTTCTGGTTCAAGATGATGTCTATCCATGGTTAAAGAGAATATAACTGGATTAAAATGGAGAAAAGACTAGAAAAGGTGTTTGGTTACAATGTAAGTCATCTTCATGTTTACTATTCTTAAAGAAATCCGTGATTGAAAATGAGGTTCAACAATTTTTTTGTTTGTGGTTAATATATTCTTTCTTGTTTTTTTCAACTAACAAAGATATATCAGTTAATTTAATTAAAATTAGAGCAGTTTAGATCAGGTTCAGTAGGAACATCATATTTTCTCTGGTAAAAGATCATAATTATCCAGAGGAAACGTTTGAGGGAGGATCATATCCCATGTTTTTTTAAATATATTATGCTGTTTTTTTTGCAGATGCCAATTTGTAAATTTAATTAGGCCCGGATAAGTGTGTTTTTGTGATGGCAGTAAATTTAGCAGAACATGAGGTGTGACATATGTGAAATGCAGTTATTAATATTAAGAAAGCAATAGTTGCATTCCACGCTGTGCAAAAATGTCAAACGTATTATGTCAATGTGGCACACGATTAATAGGACAATGAGTTACTTACCACTGTCACCGATCATGGAGTGAACGAAAATAACCTGGAGAATCATTGTCAACAAAACGAAGCAGAAAAACATCAACTTTCCTTCGCTCGGCATGCCGTCAGTATCGAAGGGGATGTCTACTACACGGGGATGCGGTAAAACCGGAAAATCGTTTAGAATTGGTTAACTATCTTCCTCCGTTCTGTTCTCATTTGAGGGGCGGAAGTCCTTGAATGGCAATAATTTATTGGATGAAGCAGCAGTATTCATGAATTGAAATTAAGTGGTCCTAGCTTTTGAAATGCAAGCGCAATCAATTTACTGTTGGAGTGGTCTGGATGGTAGTAGCCGGAAAAAGGCCTATTAACATGTTTCACTTTTTGAAAATAACCCAAAAAAATAAAAACGAGTTTTTTCCTACAAAAAATGCTTTCCCTAGGAACGGCAGTTAAACGTTACACCGGTTTTCCGTAAAAATGTGCATTAAAAAAGAAAAAAAAGGAAAGTGATCCGCACGGAAGAAAAGGAAAGAACGACTGGAGAACAGTCAGGGGTAGCACGACTAAGTATTTACCCCCGATCACAGGAATTATATCCCTCTATTGTTTGGCCGGATGAGCAGATGATAAGGGTAGCGCTTACGTGCGGACCAATAAACGGGTAGGGGGATGTTTTTCGGGCAGGGTAGCACTCACTCACCACGGTTTACAATTTTCTTTCGACTCCGTAGAGGATTTTAACGGCCCACAGATTTATTACGGAAACCACGGAATATGGCATGCGACACTGGCTGGAAGACGCGCGAGGCGGGTCAGCCGAGTTTTATGTGAGCACAAATGCTAAGTTTTTTGACAGACAATTGAGGGTGTTCAACGTAAGGGTACTGAATAGCTACTAGCCCGGCTCCCCACCCGTCGGCGTGTGTTACTCTCGCTTTCGCCTCTTCGAATTGGGAAGGGGGAACTATAAATGGTCCGCTCTCCAGGCAGGTTGATGCTAATTTCTTATATCATAAAACTTCGAAGTGTTACCGGTCTAACTTCTTCCGTATTGGACAAACCCTCTGTTAATATCGTCACAAGAAGAACCACCATCGAGGAAGTAGCGATGTGGGTAAGACTGACCGCATTTGGTATTTTCCTGTGTCGATAAAACTATGAAGGTATCTTAAGTCCACTAAACCTCCTCTTTGCTGGAACAAAACCCAATTGATGAATTACATCATACAGAAACCTTAAAAATTCTTAATGTGTTTTTCGAAATACTTATGAAAAGGAAAATAAGGAAAAACAGATAACACGGCTGAAGGGTAGACATGATCAAAAAGATATTCACTTACAAGATTATCTACCTACATCTACGGAGGATTTTTGCAAAATCAATCTGATCAATTTCGTTTCAATTCACCCTCGCGATGCTCATCCTCAACTTCGCCTACGAATCCTTTATTACGACTTAAAAGACTTAACCTCCGAAAGGGACATTTTAAATAACCAATATCTCAAAATCACAAAACACATAAAATTCCACAAAAAAGTTACCATTTCGTAACTTAATAAATTATTCCAAATCACACATCGACGAAAAAATTGACCATATAAGAGGGCACAGAACCAACCAAAAACGATGAGGACTTATTAATGAACTTGGATTATTTGTCAAATTGATCACAGGACACCTAGACAATCCAGGCAAGGAAAACTTCGAGAATCTTATCCATCAAATTAAAGAAAACCAAATATATATTGAATATCAAATCAAATCAATGTACTCTATAAATAAAGAATTAATTATTACTTTCAATGAAACTATTCAAACACTTCAGACAAACTGCGAAGAATTAGAATACAAAATAAATTTAATAAGACGGAAAATCAAACACCGAACTGAAATAATCGAAATCAAAGATGCATTTCACCAAATTCAAATCATATATGAACTGCTCTTGAATACTCTTCAGGACATTTTGTAAATTACAAGTCTTGTACCCAAGTATAATGAGTAGTCACCAGTTATTTCAAGAATTAAAACGTTTAGAACAGTATTTAAAACTTCAACTCCTACTGGAAGTAAAATTTGAAAATGTGCTAAATTTTAAAAATATGTTAATAGTTCATTGTACAATCGACAACGATCTTAGCAGAACATATTTCCTTCAACTACCACTTTTTTTCTGAGGAAATTTTTGAATTATTTAACTTTCACCCCATTCCAACAAAATAAAAAATGAATTTGTTACGATAAAATCAGATACAAATTATGCGTTAAAATCGAAAAATAATAAAATTGTAACCCTTAATGGAGGTTGTGTAAAACACAAGGTATACCACTGTTCAAAAATATTAATATCCACTCATCAAGATTCCTGTACAGAAGAACTACTTTTTACTGGAAACACTACCACATTGCAAATTCAGGGAACTCACAATCGAGGATAATTAACTAATCTTTATTCCGGAAATCAACCAATTTATGGCAATATTCACAACCCCTAATAACATCAAGACACTACAAGATAATTTCATTGAAACTAAAACCATGGAAGGAATATTTCTCATTAAAGCTGAAAATGAAGAAATGATGTACAAAAACAAGTCACTAATCTTCGAATCATTCATTTATGGAAAACGCACCTTGATGCAAAACATAAACCTATTGTCGCCGAAGCAATCTTCAGGGATTACCATAAAACTACGGAACTTCAACCTAAGGAAGATTTCGCCGAATACCTTTAATTCAATAAATATGCCAACTGATCCTACCATACAGACATGGATACTGTATTTTATATTATTTGTAATCATCATATGTTGTATAATTAGCTATAAGAAATTATAAAGATATGTACTCTCAAATTTTATGAAAAATAATGTATATATAGAAAATTAAGTAAATTTAGGTTCATCTATGAGGGGAGGAGTTATGTGAAATTATCTGCTTACAACGCTTGGTTGCAGATGTTATTCCTAGTATTGTAGTCCCTCCCGGGAGACCTAATTATTTGTCTCTGTATTTTTAATTACGATTCCTTGCCTAGCAGTTTACGAGAAAAGACATCATTAAATTAGGTTAAACTTGTATTTGTAACTTCAAACTAAGTTTTTAAAAAAGGAATCCGCAGTTGAAGTTATTAACACCATGTATATATATATATAAATTAATAGTTTTAAAATTAATTAAATAGAATTAATTAATAGTTTTCTTACGTTATTAGTGTTATTTCTGTTTAGATTTCAGTTTGTTACAGAAAATGATCCGTTTACACTTTTACATTTTTTTTAAATACAATTACAGACCTCATTTGCTTGAACTTTTATAAAATGTTCCATTGTGCAAAAATGTAAGTAAAGTTGTGAACAGAATTTAATTGAATTTGCAAAGCATTTTTTACATTTAAAAAGTCGCTTGAAGAGCTAACTGCCAATTCACGCCATAACTAGACTATATTTAGTCCGTTAATGTTTACAAACTAAATCATCTATCACAATGGCAACGTTTTACCGGCGGGAGAGCTATACAACTTTTAAATTAGATCATAAATAATGCGAAACATTTTTAAGGTGAAAGAAAATTATAACGATGGTTCTCGTGTCATCCTACAGACGCCTATCCTAAAATTCTACTTGTGATTTAGTGAGCACTTTTTTAATTTGGTAATAGAATTTCATTCAATTATCTTATCTTAAGACAATATTTCGCCCGTCCAAAACGCATATTTTGGAAATATATCCCTCCTGCTAGGACAGCGTTCGTTATGCTAATTTTCTTCTTTTTGTAAAATTTTAAAATAAGTTCGTGCATATAACATGAATTTTTTTTCATTACTCATCTAAATTATTTTCCGCAATTTTTGAAGAGAACGCGATAGAAAATATAGTGAGACTATCATTTCCGAAAAAATAATAAATTTCTAATAAAACCTGTTGTTTAATTAATTACTTGTTCTATCATTTTGATAATAAATTATTTTATTGAGTTCTTCAGCTTTAGGTATTTCTAATGTTGTTATAATTATTTGCAACCTCCTCAAAATGGACATACGTGGGAGGAGAGGAAAAGAGGAACACATTTATATACTTACAAATAATAATTTACTGGTATTTAAAAAAAGATTCATATTTCCTTATTGCCCTATTACTTTATGCCCAAAATAACATTCGATTTATTAATATAGCATTCCTTTTTCAAATTAATTCAATTTTGAGAAGAAAACTTTAAAAAAAAATTTTATCTTTAAAAAAACTAACTCGAAATTAGAAATATCTGACACATTGTCTTGTTGACTGAGGACAAGTATTTAAAAATAAATAGCGGATATCCACGAAAATAAAATGGTCCTATTTAAGTGGAGTAATATGACGGCAACGAAATTGAAGATGACGATGTTAATGAGGAAATTACAATTTTTCGTCCAATTAACCAACGGTTCACGAAATGATGCAATTCATTATGAAATCATAAAATGTAATATAAACTTCCTTATTATGTTTCTGATGCTTACAGCAAATATCAGTTCAATTTGCCATCAAACCAACTTGAAATAAAATATTATATCTGTTAATAAGATTGTAATAATTATTTAAAACATAAGAATTAAATATTATTCAGAAATCGTGAGATGCGGTCTGGTGTGATGTAGTTTCAGAAAAACATTTTCTTTATCGTGCCAACGTTTCGATCTTTATTGAGATCATCTTCAGGGCTCAATAAAGATCGAAACGTTGGCACGATAAAGAAAATGTTTTTCTGAAACCTACATCACACCAGACCGTATCTCACGATTTCTGAATAATTATCGATTAACGGTCACTAATCACCACACATAAAAATTAAAATAAAATTACAGCTTATTTAATTTGCAGCATTAAGAAAATAATGGGTCGATCTGCCAGTTATCGTTGAATTTTTTAAAAAATAATGTTATATGCATATATAATCGAAAAGCAAAAAAAAAAGAAAAAAAGAAATGAAATGCTATAAATAAAAGAAAAAAGCGTAAACAAAACATATATTATTTATTATTGACAAATTAAAACATAAATTCTTGTGGCAACTCGTATCTATAACTCCATGCGTGCCTTGCATAACGAATCAAGCTTCGAGAATCTGAGCTCTCCAAGCATCAGGACACCTCTTGACAGAGTGCAGCGACCGAGGTGAACCAAACGAATTTCACCATGAATTGAACATTGCCAAAAAGTGAAAAACGGCTTCGATGGCACGAAAATTGCAGAGGAAGAAATCCAGATCACCTCTAATCCATATAGACAAGTTTAAATGTAAAACCTCACAACGTCGCATAAAAAGCCTCATCGCAATCAGATAAACAAAGGCCTTTTTTTACATGAAACATGAAATTTTTTTGTTCTTATATAAGGAAAGATGACAAGACATTAGGATACGAGCAGCACAGTCATTACGGTGTTGTGTGTTTATCTTCTTGTTAGATAAAAGGGCAAACAAAATCAGTTCAACCTTCTTTTTTCTTTTTTAAATTGAAAGTTATTAGTGGCAAAAATAGAAAAAGGATTAACTGTTCCTCCTTTTTATTATAAACAAAATCAACCTTTATAATTCGCCCTGATTGGCCCTTGCGCTGGCACATCTAAATTCGAAAAAATTGCCAAAGTTTACACATGGAATATGGTACACCAGTAAGATAAATTTGGTGAGCGCGAGCTGTGTGCCATGAAAAAGAGCTTACACAGAATGTGCGATGTTGATCCGATCCTTCAAAAGAGCGGTTTTTCTCACCTCTAGTTAGTTCAGTATCAACTCTCTCGATGCGACCTGAATAAAGTTTCGAAATTATCACTAAACTGTGAGCTCTCTATCGTAAACGATCCCAAACGTGATAACCCGTTACTTTAGGGCATCGGAGTTGTTGAAATACGCCCACT